CGGAAACTCCATTTACCAGCTCTGTTGACGCTTTAAATTTTCCGTAGATCAGAGCTGTCAAAACACCAAAATGACAATATATAGCTAACAAGAGTTGTTATTTAATCAACTATTGCTAAACGTATAAGCAATATGCAGTCTACATTAGCTTCAAATAATATGCATACATAAATATTTTATAATAGAACTTTATGCGAAAATAAGAATTTCTTCACCATGCAACATAAATGCTCTTATGTGTATCGCTTCAGAAGGAGCACATTTTGAAGGCGACAAAATAAGTCTGATGAAGACTAAAACTGTTTTGTTTTATTTACAATTTTCGGAAAATTTCTGGTCACAATGTATGTTAGCGAGCAATTCAGCACAAGATTGAATCATAAGTGTTGTCAACTCTTTTGAACAGCTGATATAGTCTGTTCGATTCGCTACATTCTTAACCTGAAAGTTTAGGTATAAGTTTTATGCCACAGCAGTGACATTTTGTAAGTTTTTACCTACTCTTTATGAAGCTACTCATCACAAAGAGCTACAAGGTTTTAATTGTAGAAGAGAATTTTATTTTATTTATCATAAAATGCTGTTAAAAGTTTCTTTTTTTATCATAGCTAAAAGTAACATATAAATGAAAGAAATTATTAACCCAAAAAGCAAAACATATGTCATTCACTAAAAATATATTTAATATCACAAAATTTAGCTCAAATCACCTATCAAATAATTGCTCAATTTTCATTCATGTCAACAAGTGCTTCATTGCCTACACGCCCTCGCACACCACAATTTGTAATCACATCTGCAAAAAGGCAATTTGCAATGAATATAGACTTTGAATGACCCATTGCTTAAGTCCTTAGTGTCATGTGGCGCTGATAATCAAACTGCGCTGTAAATGCAAGCCGATGAGAACTGTGCAAAAATGTATCATAGCCTGGAATGAACAATGTGGCAACATGTTTCAATCATATTTTCATTTAACGTACAGACAGAAATATATTTTGAAGGGTGCCATGAAAAAGGAAGGCAAAAATTCTAAACGACCTCACACTTTGAAAACGAAGAAATTCTAATTAGGCTACTTACAAATACACGCAGGGAATTGTAGCATTGTAACGGTGTTCTTTCATGAGAGCAATCTTACACTGAATTTTTATTTAAATAAGTAAAAACTAGTGCGTACTAGTCAGGTCTGCGCAATCTCATGATAGCTCTTTATATTCAGATTTAAAAACAACCGTTGGTTAACCTATAGAATTGCTGTGATTGCGATTGATTCTAAACAGCAACGACTCATTTTTGAGATTATGAAACATTTCGTAGTGAACATCTAACATTAGATTGAATGGATTTACAATAGTTCAAAGTAAATCTTCCTTAACCCTTATTTATCGTCTTACATACTCAAGTAAATAAGTTTTCCGAAATCAGCTAGATTTTAGGTTAGCTATTACTATTTTCTGAAAATGTTTTGATTGCTATGAGCTTACTAAAGAATCTTGTTAATATACCGGGTAATTTAAGCCTTCTGGTTAGCACTTCCATGGTCTTATGGCATCTTATTAAATCAGCGTTGAATTTCTGACTTTGTTTTACTGACCACATTCTGGCTGAAAACGCACTAGCTATAAGCTAAACACCAGCTGGTAGATTGGCAGCGGTAAAATTGCACTGACAATGACAGACTTATTTGTTTGCTTGCAATAGTGCAATTTCAACCGCAATAATTTGTTGCCGCCGGACAACTGCTGTCACTGTTGCTGTGCTGTGATAACAAGTACATACATACATGTATAGCCATTGTTATTGCTGTTGTTATTGCTGTTGTTATTGCTATTGTTATATAGTATGTCATAACGAAAAATGGCTGCTTGCAACACACAAATGTTGAACTTTGCACTCACGTATTTGCAAGTGTATGGTATGCATGCATTGGTTGCACGTTCTATGACTTCGCATATGTCGTGTTGAAGGCATTTTTCATATTTGCAACTGACTGAGATTGCATTTGCTGTGTGTACTATACTATGTTTGTGTATATGCTATAAGGCTGCCGCTCGCACGTGGAAATGCACACGTTTTTACTCATCGCGGTATTTGTGTTACTTTTTTTTTTGTATTTTTGAATTGAAAATCACACAGTCCAAATTATTGTCATTCACTCGAGCACGTCCGAAAGCCGTTCGTTTGGTCGAAATAGCAAATTCGATTGCCAGCGCTGAATCGTTCCTCCGACACCAACGCCAAAGGCAATGAAAGTAATTCACTTCACACGACGTGATTTGAGAAAGTTTTCAAGACCGCCGAAGTGTGCCGCAACGGCATTGTGACTGCGCTGCATGCAATGAAACGTGACCAAATTAAACACATTTCAATTGCAAGTATATTCAATATTAAAAGAGTACTGTGTTGCCACAGTGTTTATGCATATGTTTGAAATGTCTATAATAAATCGGCGTATGTAGTCCACATCGATGACGGATATAGAGCTTAATGGCTGTCGGCGATTCGCGACAGCTTTAGAAAGTAACGAAACGAACACGCAATACGAGCTGTTCAAACAGACTGACAGCACTCACGATGCAACCTTGCGCCAACATGCAACCTCGTTACACATAAGCACACGCCTTTCGTTGCGTTTCGTTGACGAGCAAATTTTTTCTTACCTAATAAAAAAGTTTCATCTTCAAGAACTTAGTTTTGATCGTTCAACTTGTATGACAGCTACAGTGGTCCGATATAGAAAATTTCGTGAAGATATCTTTTCAAATAAACAAGTTTTCCATACAAGGGCTTGATTTTTATCGAACATTTTGTATAGCAGCTATATTCTACAGTGAACGGATATCGATAGTTTCGACAAAGAAAGAGGAGGAAAGAACGTGTCCAGAATTTCGGATTGATATCTCAAAAACTGATTGACTATCGACTCAGCTCGTCACGCTGCTCATTTCGATATGTATGTTTACTTTCTAGTTCTTTTTGGGTGTTACAAGCTTCGAGGCAAACTTAACACATTTACCACTTTACACAAGGAGGCCTCCACATACTCCCTTGTATCAAATTCAATCCGCCAAATTGTTTGTTTCTTTAATATGTAAACTTTTTTATATGACAACAGCGCTCTAAAATGCTGAACAGAGCAATAACCAATCGCTGTCGGTTATAATCGATTATTATGTTTAAATGAAATTATCGCACTCCCAGAAAAATAATAAACGAATTGATGGCAAACGATTATGCCCTAATTGTTTTCGAAAACTTGTAATTTTTTTATAAATTTATTTATAAATACTTTTCAGATTACTAATTCGAAAATCGATATAATAATAAACAAAAATCCAGTTTAACACTCGATATAATAATAATCGATAATACAAGTTTGCAAATTCCACGGGTTTAACACTGCAATACCGTTATTTCTTATTCAAGATTGATCTAATTGTCACAAGTCTTTTTAAATCTGAATCCTAGCAGCAATTGAAAAGATGGGTTGGAAAAATTTAATGTTCGAATTCGAAACAGTAGTTAAAATTTTCGTGATTTCAATTGAAAGCTGTAAATATTTCATTTTCCCATACTTTTTGTTTGTTTTTGTTATTACCGCCGAAATTCGCGCGCAAGCTCAGACCTACAAATCTCATTTTACGAAGTTCGGCAAATTACAGCAGCAGTTTGTTGTTGTTTACGAAACATTTCAACTTCAACTTTGTCATATACGCGAAAATTATTGTGCTGGCGAAAAGGAAAAGTTTGCTTGACCAACAATCAAAAAGTAGACCAACAATGATTTATGTGGAATGTGTATATATGTACTATACATACACATATGTACTGATGTATATATAATATATGAAATGTGTATGTGCTGGTAGGCGCTGAAAGCCCAAATCACCTACAAAAGTTGTAATGAGTATTTACTAGGAAAACTTTAAGTTTAAGTTGGAAACTTGAAATTTTCAAAGTTTGACGGCCGCTGTAATGCAGGCAAGCAGTTAGAGAAAAAGAGTGAAGACCGCTATAGTTGGGATCAAAAATTTAAAGAAAGTTTGAAGCTACCATGATTAGCTTTTGGGTAGTGCAGGAAGATTTTCAATCATATTACATACATACATATATGATTTTCCGAACAGATCAATTCGACTATGTCAATATACACGCACACAGCATGCTGAGTCCTTAGGTTAGGTTAGGTTAGTTTGGTAAGCTAATGAGCCACGCAAAGACCAGTTTTGGTTCTTTTCGATACTAGATGGAGTTCCTTTACGAAGTCTATGAGGGTAGTCATACTTTAGGATGCCTGCGCTTGGCACGAACTTCAATAGACTCACTGTCGATATTTCTTACAGTGTCTCATAACGTTAGAGAGACTGATTGATCTGCACTTAAGGGGTAGTATTCCAAGAAATCGACTCTCAAGGGCACAGCATGCCTATTGCAAGGGTAGGTGCATCTACCATCAATGAAGGAACACGTCTGCGGCCTGCTGACAGAGTTAAGCACTTAGCGCTCATCCTAGACAGGAAGCTCTCGTGCAAACTCAACATCGAAATATGACTGCGAGCCTGGGCACTCTTAGCCATCTAACCCAACCTAAGCTAACCTCTCGATCTCTTCTTCTATTCCTAAAGCAATATTGATAGAAACTAAGAATACGACAGTTTCGTGCCGTTACCTTTTTGAGAGTGCATTTGACAGCAAAATGCTTTAATTATTGACGTCATTAACGAAAGTAAACGTTTACAAGTATTACGAAAGTTTAAGAGTAGGACTATTTCTTGTGTGCTTCCACGCTCTGATATATTTTGTCAAACTTTGACTGATTTTTGACAAATCACAGTGAGAGAGAGTAAAAGTTCTAATTAGTAGCAAGAACTGGATGAAATTTGACACTTGGTGTTGTTGTCTACATTATTAGTTGCCATGTTTATATAACACCAGATATAATGCAATTTCCTATTTTGGTCATACTAACCTATATTCTTTCACTCTTCACTTTACAGAACTGTGTGACGCAGCTGCGAAAATCCAGGCCGCCTTCCGTGGCCATTTGACACGCAAAGTTGTGACTAAAGACACGCCCGACGATGTCGACATACAGGAGATCACCAAGAAGGTAGCCGAAGAGCTGGATATTGATCTAAGCGATCCGGAATTGAATAAGGCAGCCACCAAAATTCAAGCCTCATTCAGAGGCCATAAAATTCGCAAGGAAATAGGAACCGAATAAGAAAATCTTGTGCCCATATTTTTCTCATAAAAAAAAACATTAAAAACCAAAAACAAAACAAACAATGTTGCAACAGAACAAATTAAGTAAAGAAAGCATAAAGCAGTAATTTTAAAATATGGAAAAGAGTAATTGCTAAAAATGTTAAGTAAATACAATTTGAATTATATAAAAAATATAAATTAATTAAAGAAAGCATAAAGACATATAGATAATGATACAAAAAAAAAACAAAATATCAAGCCATTAGAGTCAAAGCATATGCAACAAGGTTGCCATACAACTACAATTGCATACGCTGTGCGAAAAGCGCAAAGAACATAAAACACACAAGCTTTTCAACTGCTGAAGGACAAAACGTAAATAAATATAAATTGTTGAGAAAATTTTAATAGCAAATGATAAATGTTAAATAAATATTAACACAAATTAAAAATTAAACAAAGCAAAAACTGATATTGACACTTTATAAGGGTTCAAACAATTGTGCGCAGTGTTGCATTTTCGCTAAATTAACGATGTGAAGAACAATTATTTACAAAAAAAAACAAAAATTGCAAATATTTTTAAATTGATAGATTTTGGTGTCAGCAAAAATATTTTTGACCTCAGCAGAAACATTTTTGGCGCATTTTTTGTTTAGACGCATATTTTTTTACTGCACTGTTCTGCGGCATAGGGGTTTCACAACACATTCTTTGAGCTTTATGATAAGTAACTGAAATAAATATATATTTTTTAATTAACAAAAGGTAGTAATTAAAATAATAAGATATATATTAAATATAGTCTATGTATTTTAGCTGATTTTGCGTTTGTGAAGAGTGCAAAATCGCAACCAAAGAAAATAAAAGCTTTGCCAAATTATGTAGTTGTTGACATTATGTAGTGCTCGGTATAAGTTTCACTTACTATTTTGCAGAAAAAAAAACAAAAGAAATTTTGAAATTTGTTACAAAAAAAATATTTAAAAACAGAAGAAAACAAAAATTTCGAAATTTTGAAAAAAAAATTCGAAAAGTAAAAAAAAAACTTTTGAGAGCGTGTTGCTATTTTTTAGAGTGCGCTGTACTTAAGCTGTCAAAATATCACACACATTGCTTCGGTTCGATATTGGTCGGCTGTTGAGCATATTTTAAAGCCTTTTTGGAGAAATTTTGCCGTTCAAACATTACTCAAGTCCCCAAAAGAAATTTGGTTGTTGCTTCAAAAACATTACAACTCAATCTATTTTCTGAAACAACTAAGTGACGTTACAGTTAATTCATATTTTTTGACAGTGGATAACCGCTTAGAAAATATACTTTCTTTAGAATAAAGTTGGTGAGAGGCAGATAGGCTTTGCTAAGTGTCTTTAAAAGCAGTTCAAAGAAAAATGTTTATAATTTCTGAAAAATAAAGAATCGAAATCGAAATTAAAGAACGAAAACAATCATCCTTTAACTTGGTTTTGAAGAGAGTTTAAATCCAATTTTTTTAATAGGTTTATTCAAATAAAAAACTAAAGAATAACGCCAAAAAATATACATATTTATAATACATATTTCGAAACGAGTTTGGAAAACCTACTTTTCTAAATGTAAATTTAATGAATTCTAGAATTGAAAAAGAATATTTGCATGAAAAGAATCCGAAAACCAAAAAAAAAAGTAATTAATTTTTATAGAAAACTGTCATCCTTATTTTGGGTTTGAAAGATTTTGAAAACCTATTATTTACTTTTCAAGCTGTAAGTTTAATCAATTCAAGATTTTAAGAGGTATCTTTTCATGAAGGTTTGAAAAACGTTAAAAATCTAGATATTAAGATCGAAAAGTATCAGCCTTCATTTGGATTTGAAGATTTTTGAAAATCTATATACTTTTCTAAATGTAAGCTTAATCAATTCAAGTTTTTGAGAAGTTTTTATTCCATGTAGAAGTTCAAAAACGCTAAAAATCTAGACATTTAAGAACGAAAATGATCTTTCATTATTTGGATTTGAAGAGTTTTGAAAACCCACTTTTTTAAATGTAAATTTAAACAATTAAAAATTTTTAGATATATCTTTCTATATAGTTCCGATAGAATTAAAGATTAAGTGTGTTCTATTTGGATTTGAAGGGTTTTGAAATTATTTTCTATATACCATGGAAGCGTTCAAAAACGCAAAAAATCGAGTAATATAGGTTTGAAAAATTAGTCCCTTATGAGGAAACAAATAGTTTTGAAAACCTGCTCTTCGAAATGTAAGTTTAAATAGTTGAAAATTTTGAGAAGTATTTTTTATGAACAGTATGGACAGTTTCTACACAGGACTTCAAGACGCTTATAATTATTTTAAACTACGTAAAGTAAGTGTACGTTTTCGAACCTCGGCAGTCATGTAAGAGAAATTAGCGAAGAGAGCGTACCAGCGGCTCAGAAAGAGTTTTTTAAGGAACCGCTACTACTAAGTCTCCAAAAAATTTTTAAAATTTACGATTTTTATTAAGTCTAGACCACATATTTTCATCTAACAATATAGTTTCCACTGTAAATTATTACACCGAACAACTAACTTTTTCTGTTCGAAAAAAATGGTTTTGAAGGAACGCTTAATTATTTTTATAATTCAAAACGATTTAAGCTAAATATTGAAATTTTGGTCGTAGGAAATAGGCGCTCGTTATTATTTTGCGCTCTTTTTAAAATAACAGTTACACGATAAATATTATTAATAACAGTAATTCAAATAAAAATTGGAAAAAAACTGTATTTTGAACTGCTGAGTGTAGGCAAACCTAATTTCACACACAAATAAAGCGCATAACACAACAACAAATACCAAAGAGTAATTAATATTTATAAAGTAAATAAACAATGTTTACCAGACTAACAACAACAACAGCAAAAAACTATTTCATTACAAAAAAATTGTACAGGAAATACATACATGCTAACAACCTTGTATGTACCCTTGTATGTACTATGTAAACAAGCAAAGTAAATAAAATAATTAAAAAATAAATAAAAATAATTGAGAGAGAAATTCAACTAAAAACCATGGCACAGCCCATATATTTCACAAAAAAAGTTGTCGAACTAAAATAATTATAAAAAATTTGAAAATATTAATATTTATTTAAATTTTAATTGGTAGCTATATCACACAAACACACACACACACACATACATACACATGTACATGCATTAGCTCGTAGCCCGCTGGACTTTCGGTACGGGTTTCGCTTGAATTCATGACACTGTGCTTAGATAACGGTAAATTGGCAAAAAAAAAATTATTATATGTTGCATATATATGTATGTATATATATGCATGTATGTATGTATGTATATGTATATACTATGCATATATGTACCTGCATTTGTTGTTGTTGCCAGCTAAAGCATAAAACTACGATTACTAAGCAAATAAACAGCGCAAATGTTTCCGAATCAATTACCGTTATATCTATTTACATTAGCACACCAATTACGCTATTACCTACACACACACACACACACACACACCCATAATAAATACAACTAAATAATTCATTAAACAGTTGGCGTCAGCAATTAACGGCATGTTATTTACTTTACACAAATCAATTTATCATTATTTATACAAATGTAATTAGCTCTATTTCTATCAATTAATTCTATTCAGTATTTTACACTAATTAACTGTTACAAATTTTTTAATTAATAACCGTTAGTCGGTGGAAAAAGTTGTAAACTTGAAATTTTCAATGCCGCAATGTATTTTACTATAAAATCATAATAAATATAAGAAAATATTAAAAAATATAAAAAACAGTTCTACGCAACATCACCAATCAATACAACAACAACAACCAAAACACAATTTAAAAAAAATTTCTACACGCTGCTGCTTCATTGGTGGCGTCTCCACAAGGCCTCTCTTTACAACCTTCTAAACAGTATTGCAATTGAGAAAAGCAACAACAAACTATTGACACAAAAATTTAAAAAAAAACAACAACAAATTAACACATTTTGAACCAAATTATAAAAGTAAAATAACAAAAACACATAGCAATTGTAATTGTAATGACGCAAATTGTGAGAAATCTGAATTTGTGAAAATAAATAAAATTGAAATAAAATCTTAACAGCATTAATTTAGTGAAAGTAAAGTAATAAAAGACAAAAACTACAACAATTTTTGAGTTTTGTGCTTTTGGAAAAAGTCTGCGGTGAGTATAAATGTCGGCATAGTAGGTGTTCTGGGGTTTCCGGCTCCATGTCACAGAACCGGCAGTTTGCAGAAGGGACTAAGCCCATGTTGGATAGGCGCTTATTGAGCCTGCAATGGACGGTGTAGAACACGACAAGCAGCCGGTATTTGTTCCCTGTGGAGATTGATTACGGCTTTAAACCGTCTGAGGTCGTAATCCCCCATTAGCAACCTGGCATGGCACATGCCTTGGATTTGTTATCAATGTCTCTCCCTGCCTGCTCTTTCCTCCCTACGGAGCAGCTCTTTAATGGTATGTGGACCAACCTTCTTACTAATACACAAGACAATAAGAAATAAAGCTCCTTCTCTTAACATTTGATGATCAGTTTAAAGGAAATCGGAAATTTTATGAATACATTGGACACAGTGGCTTAGTTGGTGCATCCAACTGATTAATATCTCTACTAATATGAAACAACTCTACTAGGTTAAGGATAGAGAATATTCACTTCTAATCCTAACAATGCTTATATAACTTTAATTTAGTTAGTTTTCTAGCATTTATGCGAATTATTTAAATATTAAATATAAAATTTGTATTAACTACAAATCGATTTCAATTTGCTACATTATGAAGTGTGAAATCACTACTAAAACTCCAAGCAATGCCCCAGCGTGTGGTGTTGCCTTGACAAAACTCCGTAGTACATACGTTCTTGATTAGTTTGTTAGACAAAATTTCCATAACGCGTGCAACGCTGCTTTTGTGGCCCAACATCGTTGTATAAATGCTGTAAAGTAACGATAAAAAGCTAGTTATACTATATATATACAATGAGAGGTACAAGCATTTAGCACCTACCAAACGCGTTGCGGATAAAGCTCACTATCTTCAATTATGCGCTGTACAAATTGTACTTCTCCGCCTTCACAAGCCAGCTCCTCGTTATGACCCGTGTGACAATTGTGTGGCGGTGTACGTTTGTCCTCATTTCTTGTTTTGGCATTGAAAGGATTTGGTAAAGAAGAATCGTAGAATGGGGGATTACAGAGGCAAAAATGAAAATTTATATCTGGTTGAGCGTTAAAGAAGTCTTTGAAAATTATTTCTTTATCAGTTTGTTTGAAAATTTCCACCAACTGCGCCAATTTATTAGCTTTTACATTTTTCTCTGCATATGTGAAATTGCTATCATTTGACTCGAGCGCATGCATGTGCCAGGAATTTTTACGCGCCGCTAAGAGCGAGTATATGCAGGAGGAACCACAGCCTATGTCTATGCCGCGTATTTCTGCTGCCGCAGAGAGTTTAAGTGATGCGATTAGATCTTCCAGCCAGAGTATGTAATTCAAACGTAGCGGCAAAGTGGGCACAAGACTGCCAGGCGCAAATTCCACGTGCAGCTGAAAGTATTCTTCCAATAGCATTTGTGTGAGCGCGCGCAATGTGGCTTCATTGCGATAATCAATGTAGACTTTGCCATTGAGCTCCTACATTTATGAGAGAAACTTTATAACGATATAACACTTTGTCTTTATGGCTACTTACCAGTTTGCAAACTTTTCGAAAGTCTTTGTATTTAATGGCTAAAGCTGTGTAATCTGGTGGCGTTCGGAAAATATTCCGTGGATGCATTAACCTTTTATTTTTCATTGTTTATATTTTATTTGCGGTCTAAAATTTGTTTACAATTATTCACATATACAAATGTGAAATGTTTGCGTTCACTGGGAACTACAGTAAAACAGCTGATGACAGTTTAGGCATGCCACATTTTTCTTTAAACCAATTATTGGACAATTTATATTATACCTAAAATGTTTTTAATGCGCTATTTAATAGGTAGTCAAATAGGGTAGAAAACAACTGTTATGTATTTGATACAGGTTTTTGAAAAATTGTAAACATTTCACTGTAACATTTTTAATAATAAAAAGCTTAACTTTAATAAATTTGGAGCGTTGTAATATCTGAATTAAAAAAAATTATTGTGAGCTGTGATTGTACCGAAAACTGCATTTAAAGAGTTGGCAACTCTATATTCTAAAAACGAACAATACTTTAATTTTTTTTAGCTGTCAAAACAAACGCATGCTGACAGATTTCAACAGATTTCATTAAAATTTGGACGAAATAAAATTGCGTTTTGAAAGTTTTTAACATATTTATTAATTAAAACTGTTAAAACATGTCTGAGACCAGCACGAAGGACACGGTTTTGAAAACAGCGATGACCTATATATGTGGCGGTAAGTTCTGAACAACAAATTTTCTAGTATACAACTTGGAGTGCAAGTTTTGATTTCGTTTGATTTTTGGAGGTATTCGCTAATTATTAATGATGCCGAAAGAAGCTGAAATCTTGTGTATTTTCAATATATTATATTAGTTTTATACCAATGGTTCTTCATAACTAGAAAGGATTTAGTCGACATACGTATGTATATCTGATCAAGCACTATCACTTCACTAGCAATATCAAAACCCTTGTAGTTTTCTTTTTTTATTGCTATAACCACAATATATTATATATATATAAATTCAGAAATATTAAAGATCTAACGCTACAATTATACATTTTCGCTTTTATATTATACACAGAGTGTCATCATGAGAACGAGATGCGTCCACGTGATCCTATACGTTGCCGTGAGTGTGGCTACCGCATCATGTATAAGAAACGTACCAAGCGATGTAAGTACATAATTATAATATATTTTTCGGGTATATACAAATAATTCACATTTTTTATTATATACTTGCAGTGGTTGTGTTCGATGCGCGTTAATTTTCATCTGGCTCTATCCCGTGGTTTTAAAATGATATTAGAATTTTAAGTGAATACCTTATGTAAAAATAAAATTTAGTATAGAAAAAGTTTAATTTTTATTTTCCACATATTGACTATGGAGAAAAGAACGTGTGCAAAATTTCAGTTCGATATCTCAAAAATGAAGGGACCACTGCTCAGAACATAAAAATTCTGTTTGGAATACCAAACCAATAATAAATATTAGAATTCATGACATAAGCTATAATTTATCAACGGTTTCAATTCTGATACCGGCAACTATCAGATTCCACAACATTTCTCATTATTATCAACAAATTAAAGAGAATTATTTGTTTGCGCTGCATTCAGATGATGTTTAGATCATATTCGCCAATTCAGTTGTTGTTGTTGCAGCAGCAAAAAAGAATGCTGAACTAATTTGGAGGAATGCTAACGAATTGACTTTCCTGGGCGGATGAAAATCCGGGTTCGTTCCGACTGCGTAGACCCGACAGTCGTGGGAGTTTTGAATAAACAAACAAGCAATTCTATGTTTCCGATTTTAATTTGGTCTTTCTAAGACCTAACCCAATTTGCATAGGTAAATAATAAAATAATTTCTTCAAGAATAATATTGCACCTACTTACTTAACACTTGCAGAACTTATAATCATATTTTCGTTGTCTACATTCCACTGCCCACCAAATTGTAATAAGAACTCTTCGTTTATTTTTATTTTAAACTAATTTTAAGATGTTTATTTTCAATATTCAGAAATATAAATTAAACTAAAAACACATTTGACATTTAATTATCATATCCACCCAACAGTCCACACTGGCTGCAGGGTTTTCATACATCTTTTCTTAAATATTTTTTTTGTTTTATTTTTTTTAATCTTTAGTTGTGTTTTGTGTGACTTTTTAACGCTTCTATTACCGTTACACATAGTTTAATATTTAAGTATAATTTTCACTTTCCATTAATGGCGTTGTTTTTACTACTGTACTTGTTTTTTGTTATGTTTAAATTTCATTTTTCCTAAAGTAAATTTTTTTAATTTCAATTAATTTAGCTTGTCTTAAATTTCATCATTTTATTTAATTTTCCTCAATTTCATTAAATTTTTCTCATTTTAATCAAATTTTCCGCAATTTAATTTAATTTTCCTCAATTGAATTTAATTTTACTCTTTTTTTTATATATATATTTTTTTTTTTTGGTTACCAAAACGTGCTTAATTAGCTTTTAGAAGTTTTCTAACATTTGTTTGTTGTTTTTGTATTTGCAAAAGGGCGTTTACAACATTTTAAACTACGTGTGTATACACTAAACGGCTGCGCTTGCGCTTCTCAAATATATGTATGTATGTCTGCTTTTTGTTTTCTTTTTTTTTTTTTTTCTTCTTTTGCTTTTATTTTGGTTCTTTGTTTAGTGTTTTCAGCTTAAAATGCATTTATTTTAAATTTTTCTCGTTTTTGTTTTGCTTATAACCACCATTTCATTTTGAATTCTTACGCTCTTTTATACGTTTTTTTTAGGTTAAGTTTTGTTTTTTTTTTTGTGTTATTTTTTTAAATTAATTTTCAGTCCATTACATTCACTTTCGTGTGGTAAACGTGCCAACTCGCGTTTGCTTAGCGCTACATACATCAAATATATAATTTTTATTTTCTTTTTCTTTTTGGTTTTCATTTTCTTTTTATTTTTTTATTTTATTTTTATTTTTTTATTTTCTTTTTATTTTTTTATTTTCTTTTAATTTTTTATTTTCATTTTCTTTTTATTTTTTATTTTCTTTTTATTTTTCATTTTCTCATTTTCTTACCAAATTTCGTATAAGGAGTTAAAATCACTAAATTTTAATTGTATGTAGATTTTATTTTATTTTCTCTTTTAATAAAAACTAAACCATATTTTATGCAATGAAAGGCGACTTAAAGGTGACTTAAAGCATAGAAATTATTTAATAATTAAAGTAGAACTAATTAATAAGAATTAAAAATATATTAGCGTTAAAAAAATAAGGCAATCGCATGAGTATGAACCAAATCAGCTTTGGAATTTATAATTTATTTACTTAAAATAGCTTAGGATTTTTATTTTTAGATTTTTTATCGCTTTTCTATCATTTTTAGCTGTGCATAGTTTCTTTTTTAATTGCTTTTGTGGCAAGTTGGCGTAAAGGACTTAGTTCCTTGGCATATTGTTCGAGTATTTGGTATACAAAGTGTCATGTTTGCAGTAAACTTGTGTTGAGATTTCTCATTTTTCCGTTATTTTAGTTTATGGTTTAAAACTACTTGCTACTTATGCTGTATCTTTGTGTGTTTGTATGGGTTTGTATGCTTTGCTTTGAAAAATGGCAACTATAATTCTTTATGTTCATTATTTTTCGCCTACACTTTGCTCAACTGTTTACGCTTTATCATTTTAGGCAAATTAACAAATCCATACTTATGAAAATAAAACAGCTAATGAGGTCAATACTTTTGCTAAAATAGCTAAAATATCTAAATTAACAGTAATTATTATTTTTGATCAATGAAGTTGGCAAATTAAAGCTTCGTTTAAACTTAACTATATATTAACTATGCATAGGCAATAGATACAGTGGTGTATTTTGTAAGCATTAGGTTGGCATCTGCCATGCTCTAATGCATACAGCTGCACTGTTGCTTTAACAAATATATAATAATATAATATAATTTAATTTAATTAAGTATGAAATGCTTTAAATTTCACATTTTGAATATTAATGTAATACATATGTATATGTGCTGCATTAGCAGTTTTTATTTTATTTTTTGCTTTAAGTTTTTAGAGAAAACATATTTCAGGTACATTACAACTTAAAAGTAAGTAACTTAGAACCAAACAGTTGTTGGCAAATAAAAAAAATATTAAATTTGAAAAAAAGTATTAAATTTGAAAAAAAATATTAAATTTGAAAAAAAAAAAATTTTAAACGCATATGCAACAAGCTATGCATTTACACACATACATAAGTATGTTTAGTATAAAGTACACGTATACACATATATTTTGTTTGTAACCGTTAATTTTTTTAAAAATTAAAATGCAGCGTTTTGTCTTTAAAGAAAACCTTAATTATAATAATAATTATTAAAATTTAATAAATATTTTATACGAATTAAGTAAAGTTTTTTTATGTAAAAAATTGTTTGCATTGTATTCTAATAAAAAATAAAAGTCGCGAGTATTCGATTTTACATTTTTTTGTATAAGAAAATAATTTAAAAAAAAATCGCTTAAGAACTTAAAAGCTAGATTGAAAGCATAAACAGTTTGTATTTAAATACAATAATATATATTTGTAAAGCGCGGAAACAAAAAAAAACACAAATAAAAGAAAAAAACGATAAAAATTATGAAAACGATAAAAGTTATAAAAACGATAAAAATTATAAAAACGATAAAAATTATAATAAAAAAAAAAAAATTATAATAAAAAAAAAAAATTTAAAAAAACAAAAAATTATCTTATAATAGTAAAAAATAATAAAACAATAAAAATTATTAAATAATATTAAAAAAGAATAAATAAATATAAAAAAAGCAAAAATATAAAAAAGCATTATTTATTTCTTGTTTTTTTTTTGTTTTATATTATTTTTTTTAATATTTGTTTTTTACTTTTTATATTTTTTAAAGAACAAAAATAATAATAAAAATAAAAAACACAAAAAAAGCAGCAATAAAAAAATATTAAAAAAAGATTAATAACAAAAATATATAAAATAAATATAACCAAAAAAATATATAAAAATAATACAATATATTATAAAAAAACAAAAAATATATGTAAAAAAATATGACATTAAAAAATTAAAAAAAAAATTAAATTAAAAACAAAAATTAAATAAGAATATATGTACTTGTATATAATGTTTATTTACTTTTTACAAAAAAAAAATCAAAAACAAATTTACATAACTTAACGCTACAAAATATTCACGAAATAAATAGTAAATGCATGAAGAATTATAAAAAAATTATTTACATTTATTTAATAATTGTGTCTGCCATAACAGTAAGTAAAAAAAAAATCAAGTTCGAAATTACAAAATAGTTTTATTAGAATATTCGCTTTTATTTCTTAGGAGATCGGGGACAGTTACTCCCGGGCTTGTCTAGTTCTCAGAGGAGCCTGGTGCTCTGCAACATTTTTTTACAGTTTTTTTTTCACTACAAATCATCCCTGCCTAATAATAAATGAGGAATGTATTATTAATAATATATTATAATATAAAAACCGATCCGTTATACTAAAAACTAATAATAATATACATTTTCACTAAAAAATAATTAAGTATTTTAAAAATGCGCATACTTGGTTTAGAATGGATACATCGTCAACATAAAATGCTAGCAACGAATACCCGAGTGTTTTACGCTGTGAAGCGCGCAAATAGAAATTTAAAAAAATAATATACAAATGCAGCACCCACTCAATATACAGTTTACACCCACCAACTGGCAAAGTTTGCTTAGCTGGTAATATCAGTTTACACACACACACACACATGCACATGTAAATATATTTGTGGTATGCGCATGCCTGGCTGCTGCGCTCTACGTGCTCAGCGCAGTTTTCTTAGATTTCTGCGCATGGCTGCGTTGCTGCTTGCTGCACTCCTTCTTTTGCTGCTGCTTTAACATGTCACCCACTTTATTCGCACCCGACCGCTTCTCCTGCATTACAGCAGCATGCATGCGCCGACTGTGCACGATTAGGCTGCTGCGTTGCTTAAAAGCCTGCATGCAATGCTGACAGCGTTGCTTCTTCGCGCGATGCTTCCAGTGTTTGTGCAATGCCAGCGAACCCTTTGTGTGGTAGTTGAAGACGAGCATTGCCGCAGCGCGTCGCTTATCTTGTGCGCAGGCGCGACAACTCAGCTTATGATCCACCATGCGATTCAAGTACTTGTCGCGCAACATGGCGACTATCACCTCTGGTGGCGCGCGTATTTTCTTTGGCTGCGCTTGCTTGCGTGACGAACGCTTGTCGTTGACGCTTTGAACTACTGCTTGTTGTTGTGACTTTTGTTGTTGTTGCGTGGGTGCTGCTTGTATAACGGAGACCTGCGCGGCTTTCGGCAACACCGCGGTTACCGCCGGCGCAGTTAATGTGGGCGTAGCTGTGGCTGCGCAAGTAGCCTCGTCGGCATGCGTGGGTTTCTTGCTGAAATCTAACGGCGCGGTAAGGTACTGCTGCTGCGAGGCGGCGTCTGCCAACAAGGGCAACAATGTGGCTATTTGTGAAAGTGATTTGCGACGCTTGCTCGGTGGCTGCTGCAGCTGCGCATGCGTCTGCGTTTGCGCGTTTGGTGGCTGTGGTTGTGGTTTGGATTGCGTTATGATGGGTGCGATCGGCGCTAGCGTAACGGCGGGTGTGGCCAACAACGCTTGTCGTGTGGGACTTTGTCGTTGTTGCTGGGCTTGTGCGGCATGGCGCTGCTTCTGCGCAGTGGATACCTTGGGTGTGATGGTCAGCGTTATATCCTCTTTATTGCGCAAATACTCGATATACTCCTCTGTCTCGCTACGCATGCGCTTGCGTTGCGATGAGGAGGGCTTTTGCTGTAGCTGTTCCGTTGACTGTTGGCTGTCGTGCGGCGTCTCCGTTGCTGTCGGCATTGCCGGATACATAAGCGGCGTTTCGGCGTAATACTTATTGATAATGTCCTTGACATAATTCTGTATATGCGTGCTGACCTTATTCAAATTCTGATATTCCATGTTGCTGAGAAATGTGGCAGCAGCATTCTGCTTGTTGTTCTCCTTGTTGTCACGATCTAAGTGTAGCAGATCTAGACGATGTTCGCGGTGGTTATGCGCGGCATTCGTGGTACGTTGATTGAGCGTTCGTGTTGTTCTCGTATGTTGTTGCTGGTAATTTATTGTATTGTTTAGTTTGTTGTTGTTATACGCGGGAGGCGATCTAATAAGCTGCTCTTGATTTTCTTGATCTTCATCATTGTCCAGTTGCGGCTGATATTTACGCTTGTTGCTGCTGTTGCTGTTGTTACTGCTGCCAACCGCCGCTGCTGCTGCTGCTGCTGCCGCCATCATTTCGATTGCGCTCTCCGTTGTTTCTTGCAAATCGAAATTTTCGCTCAAGAATGCCGACATCGCCTTTCTCTGCTCACTATTACTGTAACTGCTATTGCTGCCATTTGTTGTTGTTGCTGAGCTAGACATATACTGTCTAACGCCACCAGCTTTCAACGGTGATGCGCCACCATCACTCGACGATGCCGTCGACGAGGCAGACGATGGTGTATTCTCATCGTCACCCGTTGAGTGTTGTCGTTGACGCTTATGCGTGTTGTTGCTGTTGCCGTTGTGATGTTGATATTTCATGCGCTGCTGTTGTTGCTGTAGCTGCAGTTGTTGCTGATAGTTGGCAAAGTTGCTGTTGTTGCTTAGGGAATGGAGTAGCGCCGCAGCCTCTTTGGTCGTCCATTGTGAAGGCAGTTTATTATTGAACAGGAGTTGATGATTAGCTGGAATTTTCAACTCTTGCACGCCTCCCGCCTTATGAAAATCCTGAGCGACTGAAGCGGTGTTGCGACTGATGGCGTCCATTTTTAAGAGACTGTGTGGGGGAAGGAAGGAGTAAATGCAGCAATTATTAGTATGAGATATAGAAAATCGCGTTTCGTATTAAAAAAAAAAAAAATAATTAAAAATTGGATTAAAAGTGGAGTAAAAAGTAAATAGAGGAAGATATAAAATGAAAGAAAACTAAATGAAAGCCCGCTAAAATTAGTATAAATAATTTAATACTTGTATAAATATAAATACTTTTTGGACTTAAAGTATGGTTTTAACATGACAAAGTTCTAAAAACAAAGATATTACAACAACAAAAATGTAATGTACTTAATTTTTTTTTTGCGTATGTTTATAAAAACCAGAAAAAAGTTTTCCATAAAAGAACTTTATTTTGATCGTTTAGTTTGTATGGCAGCTATATGCTATAGTAGCCCGAACTGAATAATTTCTCGTGAAATTGTAGCGTTGTCTTGAGTCATAATCCATGCCAAATTTCGTGA